ACTATGACCGCAACTATGCGCGATCTTCAACAAATGTTTTTTTTATTTGTTTACATTACGATGTTTATGTTTTTTCTGCAAGATATTTTTGGCAGAAACGGTAAAGCAATGCGGATTGCGGAAGTTGAAAATTTTATGAAATGACATGTTTGCGAAGTGCAAACCGCGATTTTTAATTCAAACAAAAATTTATGACATTCGAGCCGCGAGATTTCATACCTACTGAAATTATATGATATCCATGGTCAGGAAGATGTGCCAGGTGCGCGGGAATTTATTTTGTCATTTTAACGACCTGCGCGGTGCGCCGTACTACGTTGGTAAAAAAATGCGCCGTGCGCCGTACTTTAGAAAGCTAAAATAGTTCTACTATTTTAGTCGACAATATACGCGAGTATATTGACTACGCGAGTCGCGAGTTGAACTGACAATAATAAAATGTAAGACATGTCCGGGTTACTTCTGACTCTTCTGGTTGTCCGCCTTGTCGGATACGGAACGTACGGTAATCGTTAACTGCGGCTGTTATACATACGAAATGTAAACAGACGGTGTTCAGTTTTGCCATATGACTTTGGAGAAAATTTCTTCTAAAATAAAGATGGCCGGGATTGCGCAAACACGTGCGCGAAGCTAATTAATTTTCATTACATTGCGCAAACTGTGCACAGCAATAGCATAAAAAAAGTGAAAATGCGCGGGAAAATTCACCGAAAACATACATCATCCTGAGTGTGGGGTAGGCTGTACGCCTGTACCTAGCTAGGTAGCTATTGTGTGCTTGAACCTGGCTAACTAAAAATTTAAATGGGTGAAAATGTCAGTGAGAAGTAGAAGGTGTTTTACGATCGGTCCGTAAAGAAGCGTTGATCGGTTCAAAATGACATAAGAACAGGTTCTTTTGAATAACCTATGGATTGCCACCATGGTGTAGGGTATAATTACGGCATCATTAGTTTAAAGCTGTTCATATCTCTTCAGGAACTAATGGTTCTGGTTTTTAATGTATGAACTTAGTTATTCATATTGGCTGCTGGCAAAGCAGAGAGTTTTTTAAACTCTCCTTAAAGTTCAATTTTGAGTCCTATTAGTGAGGCTATTACTATAAGTAGACCAGCAAAGTATCATGGATACCAGCATTATCATTCATACAAAATGGGTTTAAATCTTGAGTAAATGAGAAAATTAAAAATGAACTGATTCTAAAAATCACTGGTTTGCCAGTTGCCACTAGTATGATGAAATATGAATCTTTGATAATTGATTCCTCTCTATTAAAAATTTGATGCCATATTGCCAATGATTGATTATTGTTGTATGGGCTACATGATCACAAGCTAGTCTGGAAAAGTCCTATTTTTGTCTGAAATATCGCGGCTCTAATATCATAATGATATTAGAGCCGCGATATTTCAGACAAAAATAGGACTTTTCCAGACTAGCTTGCGATCATGTAGCCCATACAACAATAATCAATCATTGGCAATATGGCATCAAATTTTTAATAGAGAGGAATCAATTATCAAAGATTCATATTTCATCATACTAGTGGCAACTGGCAAACCAGTGATTTTTAGAATCAGTTCATTTTTAATTTTCTCATTTACTCAAGATTTAAACCCATTTTGTATGAATGATAATGCTGGTATCCATGATACTTTGCTGGTCTACTTATAGTAATAGCCTCACTAATAGGACTCAAAATTGAACTTTAAGGAGAGTTTAAAAAACTCTCTGCTTTGCCAGCAGCCAATATGAATAACTAAGTTCATACATTAAAAACCAGAACCATTAGTTCCTGAAGAGATATGAACAGCTTTAAACTAATGATGCCGTAATTATACCCTACACATCGTACTTCTCACTGACATTTTCACCCATTTAAATTTTTAGTTAGCCAGGTTCAAGCACACAATAGCTACCTAGCTAGGTACAGGCGTACAGCCTACCCTGTTTACTTCTACAGTTTTACTTTACTTAGTTAGTTAGTTACTCGTAAATTGCTAAAGATTTTCATTTCTTCATCGATAGTATAGCTACTAGAAGATAATTATCGGCCAAATCAGAGGGAAAAAATAATTATCTTATAAACTTGGAAGACATTTTTGATTGGCTAAATGTCTTAACGCTTCCATAGCATGATAGCATGCCCAGAGTCCCGAGGTATCCTTCAGAGTTTAGTGCCTTTGCTGAGAGATGTCAACACTCAACACTTGCTGATGTGTCAAAAAATTGCAAAGTCCGATGAAAATTTGAGCAACAGAGAATGACACATGGATGATGAAAATTTACGTCCATTCGTTTGAGAAAATATGCTTAGTCGTTGCGAGACGCCTTTGTGGGCATTTAAAAAAAGAAAGTTTAGAAATCCATCGAGCCATATAGTATCAACAGCGACAGTATGCGATGTTACGTGTTTACGTATTTTGCTGCCGTTCGAGTAGGACTCTAAATTGTCCTTACCATATCGTGTAGGGCAAACAAGCCCTTGCCAAAATGTCTTGTATTCAGATCTTGCGTGGTTATTATTGGAGCTTCCGAGACGCGTCTATAAAGCTCCACGTATGCGGGGGGATCTGCTGCCGCAGGGTCAACAGAGACCGTCGCTAGTAATGGCACTCACCTCATGGGTCGCCTGCCGAAGACCACAACTGCCCTGGATGTAATGGACCATCGTGATTCCTGCCTTCCGGAACGTAGCCTTCAACACTTCAAGCCGTCCGTATCTAGGCCGTGGGTCGAACCAGCCCTCGGTCGAATGGCCACTTGTCGAAGGACGATAAATTTTGGAACAGAACTATGCTATCTGAAACCTAACCTCAGATGCGGTGAACAAGGACAAAGCCGAGTGGTGCACGGCTGATTGGTGGATATCCGGAGAGATCCAAGGCGTTCGATTCAGGGCTTATTGGTGCACAAAATTGGTGGTGTACGGCTGCGCCCCCCACCTCATCACGCTTGACACCGGCGTCTATAAGGTTCTTGTACACGGGGACAGTGCAGGCGGCGGGAGCGCAGCCGTGCACCACCAATTTTGTGCACGAATAAGCCCTGAATCGAACGCCTTGGATCTCTCCGGACCTACACCAATCAGCCGTGCACCACTCGGTTTTGTCCTCTTCCGGCCTTGACCACCACTTGCCGTGCACCACCAGGCCGCGGATCGAATTCGACTTCCGGGCATGGTTAAATTACGTAATTTTACGTTCACCGCATCTGAGGTTAGGTTTCAGATAGCATAGTTCTGTTCCGAAATATATCGTCCTTCGACGAGTGGCCGTTCGACCGAGGGCTGGTTCGACCCACGGCTTAGATACGGACGGCTTGAAGTGTTGAAGGCTACGTTCCGGAAGGCAGGAATCATGATGATCCATTACATCCAGGGCAGTGGTGCTCTTCGGCAGGCGACCCCAGGCGGCAAGTAGATCCGGGAAAAGTCGGCCGCTTGTACAGGAAAAAAAAGTAGATCCGGGAAAAGTCGGCCGCTTGTACACGAGGACAGTATAAGGTGCCTCGTCCCTCGTTCGCACCCGCCAGTCCGTCGTTAGAAGCCGTCGAGTGAGGTTTGTGAAAATGGATAGTGGGATCACTTTCAACACCTCGAGTCTGTTCGTTGTTTTAATACTATTTATTTTAGCCTTTAAAAATGCAACGTCGGGAACAACTAAATCCTGACTAATAAAGTCTTCTTAGTTTTAAAATACTCGTTTAGTTTCAAAATACTCTTCATTTCGTTGGTGTAACCAGCATTGCAAACATTGCACATTAATTCACATTTTTAGAAAATCTTAAGGAACAAATAAATATCGTCTGGACTCCACTTTGTTGCGTTCTTCTTAGAACCATTATCGTTCAAACATTCTATGATTTACTTAACCCAAGATCTTCATAAGAGCGGCACAGAAGCTCTCACCGTGGCTGCATCATCGCTATTGTCCGCTTCTCAAGCGAAAAATCAACGCATAGTTGTTCCTCTCGGCCGTGTCTCGGGCAAATGCCTCTGAAGAGGCTGTACACGGGGACAGTAGCGTAGACAGTTCAATCGGCGGATGAACTGGCGACCAGCACTGACCCCGTGTTAAGGCACCTAAATTAGGGAGGCCGTCATGGCGCCTTATTGAAGATTTGGACTAAAGCCCCGTTCACACGCTCAAACTTATAGTCAGTCTTGCATTTCATGCCAGGTTTGACCGATTTTGACGGAAGACTGACGAGCGTCCACACGCTCAAACTTTCCTTCAGTTTTTGGTGCGTTTGCGATAATGGCTGCCGGCCGGAGGCAGTGCTGCTCGCTGCAGTGATCGCAGTTTATGCCACTAAAATTAGGTTAAAGCGATGCAAACGTACGCGGTGGTCCCGAAAATTGTTTTAAAAACACCACAATGAGGGTTGATAGACAGCATCCCTATCTGCACCAGACAGCATTGGAAACTTCATTGTGGCATGGCCGCTGGCCATTGATTGGCCACATGAAACCCGCCCGTTGCCTGTAAATCCGTAGAGCAACAGATATCGACTGCGGTAATTGAACCAGCAATAGGTACGTACTATCACCTAGTCCCTTAATTGGACCAGTAGTAGACACTTACCGTCAATATTCACATGGCCCTTTAATTGGACCAGCAACAGTCGCGTACCGTCACGTAGTCCCTTAATTGGACCAGCAATAGGAGCGTACCGTTTCATCATAGTTCCGGAGCGTCTGGGTGTGGGTGGGCAAGAACTAGTCAGGATTCTGGCTCCTCCATAACTAATCAGGAATTTGGCTGTGAAAGAACTAGTCAGGAATCTTTTTGCACAATAACTAATCAGGGATCACTTTTAATTGATTTCGTGACCAGTTGAAAGTCTCTTCGTGGTATTGTACAAACACAGGCATGTAGACTTTTGAAACAATCTCTCATGTCTTTCGTTTCTTCAACAGACTTGAGTGTTAAAGTCGTAATTGCCTTAGTTGTAATTGTTGTGGTAGTTAGCTGGTAACGAAGACGACAGACGATATGGCAACCGCTAGTACAGAGGATCAGCGTGATATAATGTACCTCTTCGAGCGGCCTTCTGATCCCCTGTATATGCCGCGCGCCGGCAACACTATCGTCTTCAACACTCCCGACATGGTGGGTAACCTATGCCTCTGCCAAGTCATCTTAGATTCTTTAATCCTGTGTGTAGCCTTTTCTTTGGTTCTTTGATAGATGGTCCTTTGATAGATGGCATAAGTGGTAGAAATAATGAACAGAAACTAAAGATATGTACTGCAACTGGAATCAATATAAGCCCTAACCTGAAAACCGATCAGCCTAACCTTACAACCACCCAGCCTAACCTTACAACCACTCAGCCTAACCTTACAACCACCCAGCCGGACAACTTCGCGCCCCGCTTCGGAGGCACGGCGGAGGGGACGATCACCGTGACGACGGACGCATCGCTGGCGGCGTCGCTGCCGCCCCTCGTCACCAGCATTCCGCGCGGCCATCCATATTCCCTCAACATACGGGAACATCGGCTGGCCGCCAAGGACGTTATCGAGCTCCTCCAACGTGAGCATTCGTCGCATTATTATAATATTCGACAAAAATACTCCCGTATGCAATATTTTTTTTTTAAATTGAGTCAATATTAGATTTAAGATGAGGCTACCGGATTGAATAACGCTTAAAAATTTCCTGGTCATTCTTCTGTTCATCAATCTTCTGTTCACCCCTCATCAGCTCCTTCTGCTCCTCTCTCTCTTGTTCATGTCTCTTGTTCAAGTCTCATATTCATTCTCTTTTTCATATCTCCTGTTTATGTCTCCTCTCGCCCCCGTCTCTCCCTGCAGAAGCCCAGACGGTGGCGCAGCTTCGCGACATGGCAGCTTCCATCAGGGAAGACATCAACGAGACGCTCTTCGTCTACAGCATGTTCTTCGTCCTAGCCAGGAACAAGGTGAGTGGCAGTGGCGCCTCTCCTTCGTTCTCACTAGGAACCGGGTGAGTGCCACACTCGTACCACCTTTCTAATTATTTTTCCCATGTTGATATACTTTTGTTCATTTTCAATAAAGTTAGAATCTCATTTTCAATTCCCTATCTCTAGCTAATTTCGAATTTTCCTTATTCGCAATTTTATAATGCAGTTTCCCTTTTAACGAATTCTACTTTGTTTCTCCGGAAAGCATTTGTAGGTGTGTACGGCCCATATATGGAAACGATTTCAAACTAAATATGGCGAGATGTGTACGAAATAGCACCATAGAGCGTCTGTCAATGACATCAAGGGTATGGTCTTTGGATGAAGAATATCCCTTCATATTTAAATCTACATACACTATAAATAAAAAATCACTTTATGATCTTGTCTAAGCAATTATATCGTTCCATAATTGGCTATTCGAAGGTATCTTTTCTTGGCCTTCAGCGGTTTCGCGGCCTGCGCGTGCCGACCATATTGGAGGTTTTCCCCGACCGGTTCATTCCCAGCAACGTCCTGGACTCTGCGCGCGCCGCAGTCAACTGCAACAACAACAACCGAAATATCAACCAGGTTAGTTGCGCCTCTGTCAACCGCAACAACAGCAACCGAAACATCGACCAGGTTAGTTGCGCCACTGTCAAACGCAACAACGGCAACCGAATCATCGACCAGGTTAGTTGCACCACAGTCAACCGCAACAACAGCAACCGAAACATCGACCAGGTTAGTTGCGCCACTGTCAACCGCAACAACAGCAACCGAAATGTCGACCAGGTTAGTTTGCACCACAGTCAAACGCAACAATACCAAACGGATTTTTGATCGAGGTGATTCAACTCTTGAAAGTTGGCTCGAAAATTGGAAAGCTAATTCGCTATCGAATTTGCAAGAGGGTCGACTTTCTTAGCTAGAGATTTATCGAGCGCCATGGTCGGCATTGCGTCGAAGAGTCGTTTTCAATGAGAACAGCTGGTTTCTTGCTGAAGTCTAAATTTTCTTGAAACGTCAACTTTTAACTCGGAAGCCTAAGTTGTCTTTTGGATTTCCCAACCAGAAGCTTAAAACGTCAAATAAATCCCAAATTATAGAAGGTATTTAAGAATCTAGCATCCTTCAGTCAAAGCTATCCTCCGGTGTAGGATATCGTAGTTAGGATGTATAGCTGGGCATTAGCTTATGTCACGGCGGGGATACCGCGCATGTTGACATCAGCGCTGCGCACGGCCGGCATCAGCGTTGCTTGATGACGCAAGTCTCGCCTGCAAGCGGACTTGCGTCATAGGATACGGTGCTTTCCGGCTCGGATACGGCGCTTTCCGCTGGGCACAGCCTTCAGGATTTGAAACAAATCCGATAAATTTGGAGCATCTAGGAGGTAAAAATATTCTACTATGATCAACAAATGAACCGCTTCTACAAAATAGAAAGAGACTGAGTAAAATCGACGTCCAGAAGTAAAATACATGAATGATGACAGTGCAGCCATCGATTGCGTTTTCTTATAATGGTTTAGCCTTTAGCGTGTTACCGGCAGGCAGGCAATACGAGTACAGGAGTAATGATTAATTAGTGGCAATCAAAATTAACTGCCAAGTCTTCATTACAAAATTAAATTATTATTAAACTCTTTCAATTATCATTAAAAAAGCAATTTCAATTGCCAGTTCACTATAACTAATCACTGAATGCTATGATAGATTATTGTATCACACACAATGATTTATTATTTGTACTTCTGCCCAGGACAAGATGTCTCCTTTTGATGGTTTTGTGCGGTGCACAAACAAGATCATCCTAAATGACGCAGCAAATTCCTCACATAGGAAACGGCAGCCATCAATACCTGAATCAATACAACAGTGTCAGCATATAGAAGAACACAAATACTATTAGAATTTTGTACGATGAAGAAGCTATCATCGCGCGCTTGCTTTGTGTATGGAATGCCTAACATGATCGTGTTGTGCTGGGGTGAGGCACACAATGGCGTTGTTCAAAGGTGGAGTTTGTATCAGAAATGAAGACGATTGCGGCCCTGAAATTGATAGTTTCTTGCAAAAAATATTCTTAGCATCATAGTAACTTTACCATTTCAGCATTTGAAGCCAGATACCTATTCTGCCCAAACTAGAAATCACCAATTTGCTAAAACCGTTCGACTCAATTTTATTCTTTTAGGAAAATAAAACTTTTAAAATGAAAACTTGCAACAGACGACAACGATGACAAACCCGAGATGAAATTTGATTTAATCCATTATTTTCTTCTTGGCAGTAATGGATGGCAGTAATTCGCTTCTAACGGCCGTCTTGTTCATTGCATGCTTCTTGAATTTTGTGCTGAATTTAAATTGATTGCACAATAGCTATGGCTGGTGCACATTTCTGATGCGGTCCGTTGCGACTGGTTTCTCGACTAACGAAACCATCCGACTGCAGTCACCGGGCATTTAGAGTGTCTACAAATGTCGCTGAATATCGAACCAATAGAGTGAATAGACCAAGGTAACAGATAGTTTACATTCGAACATTTAGTGACCACACATCCAGCGGAATACGTAACTGGTAGACGCAAGAAAGCAGATAGTTGGAAGAAAGCAGATAACGGATTACGTAACTGGTAGACATTTTCAAATTGTAAATTTATTCCTATGTATTCATTTGACCATCGACGTGTTGCAGGAGACGCCGGTGGTGATACAGTACAACCAGGACTTCTCTGGCCTGCACTCTCGCCTGGAGAACAGACTTGCCTACTGGCGCGAAGACTACGGCGTCAACGCCCATCACTGGCACTGGCACCTCGTGTACCCCAACGACCTACTCGTGGGCAAGACCATCCCTGACAGGAAGGGCGAGCTCTTCTACTACATGCACCAGCAGATCGTGGCCAGGTACTGTGAGCTACTACATGCACCAGCAGATCGTGGCCAGGTACTGTGAGCTACTGCATGCACCAGCAGATCGTGGCCAGGTATTGTGAGCTACTACATGCACCAGCAGATCGTGTACATGTCAATTTATTGTGAGGTCACGATTGTGTTGTGACTGTAAGCTTAAATTAGACTGCTAACATTTCAGTAAACGTAATCTGAGCTCACCATTACGAGAATACAATAATTTCATTTTTATTTATGATCAACATGACAATATAGATTAGTCACCTGAGGCTCCCTTTAGATAAATTACAATGAATAAGTTGAAATTCCACCATAAATATATTCTGATGAAGATAAATAATCGTTTTTGATATGCCGTGGTACCTGTTTTGAATGCAAATTTGATTTTTCTTCAATGTGGATGCATGCGTTTATTAATTTTGTATTGATTCGTAGTAAGACATATTTTATGATGATTTTCTTCATACGTTCAACTCGAATTTGCGTTCATCATAATAACTTGATCGACTTTTATCACACGTTACTTCAAAAATTTTATTTTCATTTTATATTTGGTGAAGGTACGACAACGAACGCATGAGCATCGGGCTGCCGAGGGTCGTGAAGCTGGATAACTTCCACGACCCCATCCCTGACGGGTGAGGGGGGTTAGGGCAAAGGGTAACTCCTACCGTTTGAAGGGATCGATGTAAACTCAGCCGGGTTAAGTGGTCAGGGTAACGCTAGCCGGGTGAGAGGATCGAGGTAACCTCTGCCGGTGAGGGGGTCAGGGTGTGTCATCAGTGATGGGAGAGGGACTGAGTGTGTCATCAGTGATGGGAGAGGGACTGAGTGGGTTATCAGTGATGGGTGCGGGACTGAGTGTGTCATCAGTGATGGGAGAGGGACTGAGTGTGTCATCAGTGATGGGAGAGGGACTGAGTGGGTCATCAGTGATGGGTGCGGGACTGAGTGGGTCATCACTGATGGAAGAGGGACTGATTGGGTCATCAGTGATACGTGAGGGACTGAGTGGGTCATCAGTGATGGGAGAGGGAATGAGTGGGTCATCAGTGATGGGTGCGGGACTGAGTGGGTCATCAGTGATGGGTGCGGGACTGAGTGTGTCATCAGTGATGGGAGAGGGACTGAGTGTGTCATCAGTGATGAGTCAGGGACTGAGTGGGCCATCAAATTACTTACTTTCCAAGCCAAAAAACATGTATCATGATATCGAGTTTTGGTAACGCGAGATACCTGTGGTGCAGGTACTTCTCGAAGCTGCGGTTCGACAACGCGGACAGCAACACCAACAGGGTGCAGGTGCCTGGCCTCAACCCCAACGCCACCCACTGGGGCACCCGCCAGGACAACACGCGTCTATCCGTACGTCACCCGACAGATGATAACGCTCTTTCAGATGAGAATTTCGCTTCTAAAGCTGCGATTGTTTAAACCCTAAACAAAAAGGGAGCACGATTATCTTCAAAAAGGGAGCACTAGTTTTACGATACTCCTCTCATTACTCGGTCTGAGACGTTCAAAGAATTAATTCAAGGATAAATATAATAAAAGATAACACATGAATGCCAGGTTGACCCGCTATGATAACTCTAAGCTTTCGTGTATGATTATGACGCGCACGACTGATCGTCTCTCAACGTACATAAGGCATGGGAAACTATCGCGATCGTCGTACCTGCGCATTGATGGACATTGCAAGCGGTCACTGCAAGCGATGACGACAGCGTTTAAGGGACTGTCAAATGATGAGTGATAGGCGAAGGCATGCTAACGTAGCCTAAAACACAAACCAGGGAGGTTGGTGAGCTTTTATGGTGAAGATAAAGACTTACTATAGAGTTAACATTTATGATTACTTGCCTAGCAAAATGTTTAAACTAAACATTTCGCCTAATCTGCCGCACCATCAGCACATCGCGGACTGCACAGAACTCTATACGAAATGAACTTGTACATCTTATCACCCATTTAACCTTCCTGAACGAAGTGTCTTCTTGCGATTATTAATTAAATATTTAGATATTTCAATAATATTATTTTCTCATTTCAACTCATCAATCAAGTAAAATCCCCTTAATGAGCTACCACTACTCTTTGCTTGGTAAATTATATCACTTGATGGCAGAACTACACGTGAGTGAACACGTTCATCTTACTTCTACTGCAGGGCAGGGTGGCCCAGTAGTTAAAGTTCAGAGTACCAAGATTGGAGCAGAGAGGCGCGGGTTCGATCCCAGCTCTGTGCGCCAGTTTCTGGTCAGAATCGGCGAGGAGGCCGGG